CACTGCTCTGTCTGTTCATCCTTTCTTCCCCTGACTCCTAATAACCCTTGATCTTTTTACTGTCTCTCTGATTTCCCCTTTTCCAAAATGTTATGTTGTTGGAATGATGTGTGTGGCTTCCTCCATATGAGGTTCTTCTGTGTCTTTTTACAGCTCACTTCTTGCTTGCTAACTCACTTCCTGTTACCACTGGCTAGTATTCCATTGTCTGGATGCCCTCCTCCCTTAGTTTTTACAACCAAGAGAGAGGGCCCTTCTTTGGCCTTGGTGGGGCTGCTGTTGGCCAGAGCTGGTGTTGTGGTGAGTGGCTTGGTCTTCATTGATCATCCCCCAGGTTTCCCTTCTCAGCCCCGTCTGGGCCTGCCCCACATTAATACTTGATTACTAGTGGTCTTGCGTTGACCACTGCTGCCTGTCTGTGTCAGTTTTGCTTCCTTAATGATATTAGTAACTTTTTCCAGCACTTATCATAAACTAGACCTGTTCTAAGTACATTTATTCTTTTACCCACCAAATATTTATTCAGTAGCCGTGTGTTAAACACTCAGTACTATGAATGCGGCAGGTAGAAACTCACAAAGCATAACTCCAGTGCCTTCATGGAGCTTGTATCAGATAGAAACAGTTGAGTAAGTAGGGGATACTCTGGCAGTGGTGATGGGTGTTGGGGGAAAAATAGACCAGAGTAGGAGGTACATGGAGCGTATAGGTTGCTGTTGTACACAGGGAGGACAGGAAGGACTCACACATAAGGTGACATTTAAGCAGAGACCTGAGCAAGTTGAGGAAAGTGCTGGGTAGTCATGGGCTAGGAGAAAGCCTTTTAGACCAAGGGACAGCACATGCAAAGGCCCTGAAGCTGGCCACAACTGGCCTGCTCCAGGAAGATCTAGGAGGCCACTATTAGAATGGAGTGAGCCAGGGGAAAGGAGTTGGAAGGAACGTTCTGTAGAGCAGTGCTGACTACAAGTATCACATGAAGCCAGGTGAGGTGGTGCATACCTGTAATCCCAGCTGCTTGGGAGGCAGAGGCAGGAGGATTGCAAGTTCGAGGCCAGCCTGGGCAACTCAGTGAGAATCTGTCTGGAAACGAAATAAATAAAAAAGGACTGGGAATGTAGCTCAGTGACAGAGTGCTTGGTTGGCATACCTGAGCTCAATACCAGCTCATACTGGATCAATCCCTGGTTAAAGAAAAAGTTTAATATGCCATCACTCTCATGGAATTCTGTTTGAGTAATCCCATTAAAAGGTAAAAAGGCATAGGTGAAGTTAGTTTTAATATTACTTCTGTAAAATATCCATTGAATATGTAATCATAAAATATTGGTGAAGTACCTACTAAAAAATATTAGCGAAGTACCTACTTTTTCTTATGTGTTCAAAATCTGGTATATTTCCAGATCTTGCCTATATATTTGGATTACACTGGCTACATCTCAGGTTCAATGGCCATGTGTGCCTAGTGGCTGCCATATTGGACAGCACAAGTACAGAGCCTTGCTGGTCATGCCAAGGCCTTTGAGTGAGATGGGGAAGCCAATGGATGGTTTGGGTCCAGGAATGGTACCTGTTTGCCTTAGGTTCTAGGAAATTCACTCTGTGTGCTGCGATAAGATGGGATTGTCATGGGTGGGAGAGAGGAGGACCAGGAAGGAGGTTTTAACGAGGCACAGAGTGATGGCAGCTTGGACTAAAGTAGCAGCAGGGTAGGAAGTGGTGAGTTCCAGATGTGTTTTGAAGGCAGAACCTCCAGGTTTTCTTCTTTTTTTGGGGAGGGGTACTGGGGATCGAACTCTCTACCTTGCGCTTGCCAGGCAGGCGCTTATGCCACTGAGCTGTATCCCCAGCCCTCTCCAGGTTTTCCTGATGTGCTGTGTGAATGAGAGAGGAGAGAAGGATGCACAGAGAAGTCTGGCTTGAGCTACTGGAAGGACCCAGTTGTGTGCAGCAGGATGAAGAAGACTGTTGGGGTGGAGGGTAGTTTGGGTTTGGGATGTGGCTGTTTGAGATTTTCAGGTAGAATTGTTCAGTGGGAGTTGGACAGATGGGTCTGAGGTTCAGGTGAGGGGTCTGGCCTAGGAACAGTGTTGAGGGCCTTCAGGGAGCAGGTGCCTAGAGAAGAGGACAGAGCCAGAAAGACAGGCTGAGTGGCATGTGCTGGAAGCTGGGAGGGAGGCTCAGAGAGTGGAAGGCAAGTGAGGAAGGGATTCAGGCAGGGGGGAGAGGTTTTCTGCTTCCAGGGCTGCCGATGGGCTGGGAAAGGCGAGGCTGGATGATTCCTGCTCACCGAGGAGAGAGGTGGGGCATATGCCAGACTGAAGTCCAAGAGAGAAGTGGGAGGAGAGCAGAAGATGGCTGGGGACAGGTGGCCGGTGTGAGTGGTTCTTTTTCAAAGGGGAGCAGAAAAAAGGGGTGGTAGCTTAAGAAGGGTGTATGATCATGAGGTCCTGAGGTCTTTTTTTAAAATTAAAGGTGGGAATGTAGTATCAACGGAGTATTCTGTTATACAGGCAAAGTAATGATGCAGGGAGAGAGAAAGTAGTGAGTAATACTCATTCTTGCACTGACCCTATGCAGTAGGTGCTATTCTGGAGATAAACCCAGGCACAGAATGGCTCAGTCACTCCCCCAGGGTCACAGGGCTAATCCGTAGCCAGGAGCTGCAGGCTGGTGGCCCAGTTCTTGAAGGCCCAGTCCTGACCACTGTGCCATTCTGCTTCTTGGTGTCCTATCTGGGGTGGTCAGCATTTGCAGAGTGCGGCCTTCCATTACAGCTTCATGTGCAATGCAGCAGCCAGCAGAAGGCTGTGCAGGGGTGGGACTTGGAGCTCTAATGGCCCTGTGACCAGATCACCAGGAACTATGCAGTGCATGCTTGGTAACCAGGATCCCCCTGGGGAGGAAGCCAGGCCTCCACCAGCCTTGTTCCACCCACCTCCCCAATGGCAAGGCCAGAAGCCTTTGGGAGAGGGATGAAGTGTGGGTGGAGAGGCTGACGCTCATTTTAAGCCTAAGCTGATGGTTCTCCCCGGTGTTCCTGGTGCTGGGTGACTGGGTTCATGCTCAGGTTTGCTGCCAGTGTGCTGGGTGACACTCAGGGCCTCCGTTTCCTTATCTGTAAAGAGATTGGGTTGGATGATTTCCCTTTGGGCTCTCGCCAGTGTGTCTCAGAAGGGCATGAGCATATGGGGTTCCTCCTCCAGGGCAGAGGCAGGGGGTCAGGTGGTCTTAGTGCCGTGTGTCTCCTGAGACTTGTGGGGAGCAGAAACCACCACAGAGGGGATATAGAATTCCTGGGAACACTGATTGATGCCTGAGACGTTCTGCTTCATGGACAGTGGCAAAAACTGGAGGTCATGGCACAAATGCCAGAGTTCTACCATGTCTGCCCTGTGGCTGGTGTGTGTTCAGCCCAGATTTGGCTTAGGGGCAGTCTTGACTTCAGCTTGCAAGACTGCCAGCTCAGGGATTCCTTTTTGGGTGTTCGTAGCAGCCAGTGCACTCTGGATGCAGGGGTGGGCATTTGAGGTGTCTCGGGTGGTTTCTATGGCCATGATGGTGGGGGTGAGGGTGGTGGCTGCTGAAGTCCCTGCCATGAGCATTGTCCCACTTGTCCCATGCCAAGTGCCAGTGGAGCCCTTGCCCTGACTGCCCAGGTGTGCTGCTTCTTGAGCCAGGAGTGTTGTTTCCTGCATTTGTAAACAGGGCCCCACGCACCCAGTTGCGTCGCCTAGGCTTGTGTACGTCTGAGATGAGACTGTGGATTAACAGTCACCACCCGCCCAGCTCCTCACATGTACTGCTTGCCCCATGCCTGGTGCTGTCCTGCATGCTTCTTCTTCTTTTTTTTTTTTTTTTGCAATAGCACAGACTGAATCCTGAGTCTTTGCCCTGAGCTATGATACCCTGTCTGTCTGTCTGTCTGTCTATCTATTATTTTAAAGAGAAAAAAGTTTCAAACCAAGATAATAGGAGGGTAACAATGGCTACCTCCTATAATGTATATTGTGATCTTTAAATTAGTCAGAGTACAAGACATAGGCATTTAACTGTCCAAACAATATTAGCACAAACCTTTCTTTTCAATGAACTAAGAGAAATTAGTAGTATAACTGTCTTTTTTGGTTTTTGGCTTTTTTCCCGTACCAGGGATCGAACTCACAACCTTGAGCTTGCTGGGCAGGCACTGTGCTACTGAGCTAAATCCCCAGCCCCAGTATAACTGTCTTAACTATCTGGGGTGTGTGTGTGTGTGTGTGTGTGTGTGTGTGTGTATTTTTTCTTTTTTTGCTTTTCCTTTCCTTCTTTTCTCCTTCCCCATCCGTTTCTCTTTTCTTTTGAACACTTTCTTTCCATTTTACAATATCTATTGTACATTTTGGATCTTATTCACTCTTTCAGCTTCTCACACTAGGGAGACAATATGATGTTTGCACATGTGCATCTGGTTTATTTCATTTTTGAGTATACTCTCAAGTAGCATCCATTTACCCATAAAAGTCTCCAGCTTATCCTTCTTTATGGCTGAGTAGTACTCCATTGTATTAAAAACACCACATCTTTTTTATCCATTCCTGTTGGTGGACATTTGTGTTGTTTCCAAGATCTAGCTATTACAAATTGTGTTGCTATAAACATGTACATCTCCAGTCTTTGAAACAATTTCCTTTTTAAAAAACTTGAGACAATGTCTTGCTAAGTCACTATGTTGCTCAGAGTAGGCCCAAACTTGTGATCTTCCTGCCTCAGCCTTCCAGAGTTCTGGGATTCCAGGTGTGCAGTATCACACCTGACTATTCCTGAGTTCTTTTTGGGCCTGCCTACTAACTCTTTTAATCCTCACTGGAGCCATTGGGGTTAGATCTTGGGAAGGGATCCCTATTTCACAGATGAGGAAGCTGAGCAAAGAGCAGGTATGTGAGAACACTAGTCTCAGGTTGCTGTGTCTCCCCCGTGCTGCTATGGGACACTGACCCGTGCTTGCCTCCTTCCTCCAGGGACAGGGGCAGACCCGGCTGTCAGTGCCAGGAGCAACCATTGCCTGGACGCTGCCAAGGCCTGCAACCTGAATGACAACTGCAAGAAGCTGCGCTCCTCCTACATCTCCATCTGCAACCGTGAGATCTCGTCCACTGAGCGCTGCAACCGCCGCAAGTGCCACAAGGCCCTGCGCCAGTTCTTCGACCGCGTGCCCAGCGAGTACACCTACCGCATGCTCTTCTGTTCCTGCCAAGACCAGGCGTGTGCTGAGCGTCGCCGGCAGACCATCCTGCCCAGCTGTTCCTACGAGGACAAGGAGAAGCCCAACTGTCTGGAACTCCGCACCCTGTGCCGGGGAGATCACTTATGCCGGTAAGAGCACGCACCCTGGGGCCCTGGCTTCAAGGTGCTTGCAGAGGCTGGTGTTGTCCTTTCTCTGCATCTACTGGGGAGTCCCATTGGGTTATGATTCTGAGCCCAGCAGAAGGTGTCAATCAGGTTCAATCCACTTGGATATGTGCAAAATCAGTTGTCCATTTTTTCATCCATCCATCCATCCATCCATCCATCTGTGAATGAATCCATTCATCCATCCATTTGTGAATGAATCTATCCATCCATCCATCCATCTGTGAATGAATCCATCCATCCATCCATTCATCCATCCATCCATTCATCCATCCATCCATCCATCCATCCATCTTTGAATGAATCCATCCATCCACCCATCCATCCATCCATCTGTGAATGAATCCATCCATCCATCCATCCACCCATCCATCCATCATCTGTGAATGAATCCATCCATCCATCCACCCATCCATCCATCATCTGTGAATGAATGAATCCATCCATCCATCCATCCATCTGTGAATGAATCTATCCATCCATCCATCCATCTATCCATCCATCCATCCATCCATCCATCCACCCACCCACCCACCACTCATTTTCTGATTTGCTCATTCATTGAACTTAGGTTTATTTTTTGTCTACTCTGTGCCAACCTCATGTTAAGGACTGTGAAGGAAGCCAGTAAACCATCCAACTATAATTTTATAATTTAAAATTATAGGCTCTAGGAGTCTTGAAAAAAAGAAATGACCTTCAGAGAATTTGATCCCACTTCTAAAGGAAGCCTTAACCTCATGACCCAGCAGAGGAAGCTGCTCTCATAGATTGAAGAGCAGCTTATTATAGACTGAGAGCTGAATAGACTGGTGTTGGGGGAAAGAATGGGTTCTGGAGCCTGACGGTGCTGGGTTTGAATTCTGACTACCAGTTACTAGCTGTGTGATTCTGAGCCAGTGTAAAAGATAGCCTGAGCCTCCATCTCTTCACCTAGGAAGCAGGAATATTGATACTCACATCACTGGGTTATTTTGAGCTTTGATTGCGTGTGTCCACTGCTTAGCACAGAGCCTGCCATATGGTAAATGCTAACTAAATGTAGCCTAGTTATTAGGAAGTGGGATTTTTTTTTGTTACAGTGACTTGGGAGTTTGGTTTCTTACATCTGTTTTTCCTGTTGTTAAGCATTTATCAACCCCTCTTGCATGGAGCACTTGGTTCTGAGGCCTGGATGACAGAGGTGACTGTGGTGCTCTCCAAGGAACATGCACTTCAGCAGGGAAATAGATAAAGACAGAAGTGGTCCTGGATGAAACTGGGAGGTGCCAAGGAGGGAGCATGGGGAGGGACACCTGCCTCAGTGTAAGGGTCCACGGAAGGGGGCCTTGACCAAAGCCTTGGAAATGAGAAGAGAGCCCAGGAGGAAGATTGCTAGAAAAGGAGAGAGAGAGAGAGAGAGAGAGAGAGAGAGAGAGAGAGAGAGAACTGCAGCGGGGGTGAGCCATGATGGGGAGGCTGTTGGAGAAACAGGAATTACAATAGTTAGCTGCAGGTGTTTAGAGATTGTCTGCTGTGTTCCAGACATGTGTTAAAAGCTTCATGTTTCAGTCCTGCAACAAGGCTACAAAGTCAGTACCATTTTCATCTTTATCGATCACTGAAGGAATAGAGACAGTAACTTGCCTAAGGTCACATAGTGCACACATTTCAGAGCCGAAAGTCACATGATACCACTTTCCTGCCACTGTGGTATACTGCTCTGGACTCAGGTGGTAGCTGTGGGGATGGAAATTATTTATTGTTTCAGAGGAGAGTGATAGTACACTGGAATGTGGTGGGACTGGGTGACTGGTTGAAGTTCCCTGGGGCCAAGAACCATTTCTCTTTTACTTACTCCATTCGTCATCCAGTACACGGAGCCTGGTGCATGGTGAGCACCCCATAAGTATTACTTGGATAGATAAGTGGATGGCACCTGTATCTGCCACGTTTCCTAGCTGAGTAACTATGGGGTGATGGAATAATTGGATGAGGGTGGTACTGGACACACCGTGTTTGAGGAGTCTCTGGGGAAACCGTTGCCATTCCCATGGCAACATCTGGGAAGCATTTGAATGAATGGCCTGGAGCTCAGTAATGAGGTCAGGTTTAGAAATTCTTGGGCTCCTTGCTAGTGATTAAAGCCACAGCAGTGGGTGATGTGAGGAAGTTTGATGGAGATGCCCGCAGATTTGGGTGCCCTTGGAGTTCAGGTGGTAAGTGAAGCTGTTGGTGGGGGTAGTGAGGGCTAAACTCTGCTGGAAACACAGGGGCCTGGGAAGGGAAGGTGGAGGAGGTGCAGTGTGAGGCAGGGAGGCTGGGGAGGTCGGAGGACAAAGGAGGAAGAAAGTGGGCCCAGAAACCGGAAGAGGGGAGGTTTCATGGGGAGGGAGTGGTGAAGCTGGGGTCTTACAGAATGCATGTGTGTGCATGTGTGTGGTGTTCCAAGCCGATTGCTGCGGGTACACTTCTGGCAGGGAGTCAGAAGCGGGGGCACTGGATATAAACTGCCTTTTTCAGAAGGAAGTGGGGTTGGAGCCAGGGCCACAGAGGGATGTGGATTGGGAGTGGCTTCCTTTTATCCTGGGAGAGGTGGGCCTGTGTGTAGACTCAAGGTGAAGTGCTGCTTTGTTTGGTTTGGAATAGGAGCTCTGCTGGAGTTCAGAGGAGGGACTGAGGGCTCAGGGAAAGCCCTGAGAAGGAGGTGGGCTTTCCTCTTCTGTATTGCTTTAAAAAATACACTTGCTACACAACTGGGTTGAGGCAGTTTGAAACAAACCTATGTTTACAGCAGTAGGAGGGTTCTAGGAAAAACCAAGAGCCCTAGAAAGGAGGAGTTAGAAAACACCTCTGCTGTGTCGTCCGGCAGAGTGCTGAGCTCCGGCTCTGAGCTTCCTGGTTGCTGGGATCGAGGAGAAGCTGGACAGGCTACATAATCCCCAAAACATGATAAAAGGAGCGTGCTAACTCTTAAATCCAGACGTACTTGCTCCTTGGACTAAATGCTAAAATGGACTTGCCAAGCTGCACGTACACAGTGGTGTGGATAACAAGGAGGAACTGGGCCTTGAAGGAGCTGGGAAGGGCCAGCTCGAGCCCCAGCTCAGGAGTTCATACATTTATGGGGCCAGGCGCACCCAGAAAGCCAGAGGCTAGCCGGGGGGTGCCCACCTGTATTGAAGTACTTTGCAAGGCTGAGGCAGCAGGATCACAGGTTTAAATCCACTCTGGGCAACTTAGCAAGACCCTGTCTCAAAATAAAAAAATCTAAAAAAGGATTGGTGTTGTAGCTCAGTGCAAAATCCAAGGTTTTATCTTCCATACTGAAAAAAAAGCCCAGAAGACTTCAGAGGTCCTGCAATGGGGGTCCAGGGCTGTGCCAGTCACATTCAGAACTGAGACTGAGGTGGAGGAGTGGCAGGAGCCCAGCATGTGCTGATTGGTATGGTTTTGAAGATGGAGTACAGTGATCCTCCCGGGCTCTTGGCCTGTGTGAGGCTGGAGAGTTTGGAGCAGGGAGAATTTGGTGGCTTGCTTGGTTTTTTGTTTATTTTCCTGGAGATGGAGAACCCAGGAACACAAGCATAAATGTCACACTGTAGAACCAGAAAGGACAAAGTATGGGGAGCATGGAGACCAAGGAGCCCTGGCAGCTAAGAGCAGACAGTTTCCAAGAGGGGCTGAGCCAAGTGGAGAAGCCCCTGGCATTGGGGGTGTGGATTTCAACATCAGCAACACCAGGGCCGTGGACAGCGCTGTCTAGATCACTGAATTAGAGACACAGCTTCCTTGGAGAGGCCTAGGGTCATGAGTAGGAAGTTCACACTGCTTCAGGATGTGGCAGGTGAGCTCTTGTCTGGAGTCAGGACATTCGTGCAACCTTTCATTGCTCAGCTCCCACCTCCCACCCACTGGCATACAGAAGTGTGGTCCTTGGCGAGGGAGGGCAGGGATGAGGACTGGGCCTGTGTGTGGGATGAGTCTGGCAGGGCCTTCAGCAATGTTGGAGCAGAGGCAGGTGCCCTTTAGGTACTTTGCTTGTCACTCAGAGCCGAGGCTTGAGGTGGGCTGGGAGACGTGTTGGGGAGAAACACCGACTGAGAGGTAGAGATGGTGGATGGAGGGATGACCGTAGCACCCCAAGTCAGAGCCATGCCTGTGGCCTCCTGAGTGGCACTGGATGGGCTGCTTCACTCCCTGTGCCCCTTGTTTCTTCACCGATCACACAAGAGCATGTCCGGGCCTGTGGACTTGAGTCTATCCAGGTGGTTTTGTAGCCTGCCTTCTGCAGCTCCTGCCCCACCCTTTGGTTACTTTCCTAGAGAGATGTGCTCTTGGCAGAAGAGGAGATGAACAGAGGGCCATGGAGGTGCCCACCTTTAGGACCAGGAGGTTATGGGTGGCTCAAAAGGGGCATGTAAAGGTAGGAACCAGGCTCTGCCCTGTGCCCTTGAGGAGATAACTGTGCTCTTCCTTTGCTGGGCTTGTTCTCCAGGTTCCTGCCCTCCAGGATGGGCACTGGGGGTGGGAATCTGGTGACCACGGAGAAGCCCAGTGCTGCGGTGTTCGGGGCAAGAACCGTAGATCCCTATCGCTTGGAAACTTTAGTGAATGGAGCCAGCTTGATGGGGTCGTGGAAAAGCATCTCTGGGTGACGGTTCTTTGGAAATGAGGCCCCTGACCGTGGCCTCTCCCAGAAAGTCCCCGCGCCCTAGGGCTGTACTGCACAGTCCTGACTGCAAGGCCTGGCTGGGTCCTGGTTCCTCCTTCTGTTTTGAGAGTTGTGCATCTGTGCTGGATTTCTTGGCACCCTGTCCCTCTGGGACCACCTTAAAAGCAGTCCATTGCACTGCTGTGAGGCACACCCGGCAGCAGGCCAGGTATGTCACTGGTGTGGTGTTCACCTGTGTGAGATATCAGACTCGGCAGTGCTGTCTTAGTAAATGTCACTGCTGTAAAGAGTTGGAGGTTTTGCTTGATCT